GAAGAATGTGGCAAAGAGTTTGCACACTCCTCAACCCTTTATACACACAAGAGAATTCATAGAGGAGAGAAACCCTTTAAATGTGAAGAATGTGGCAAAGGCTTTGCACAGTCCTCAGCCCTTTCTACACATAAGAGAATTCATACAGGAGAAAAGCCCTACAAATGTGAAGAATGTGGCAAAGCCTTTAAAAAGTCATGTAACCTTACTATACATAAAAAAATTCATGCTGGAGAAAAACCCTACAGATGTGAAATATGTGGAAAAGCTTTCAAGCTGACCTCACACCTTACTAGACATAAGAAAATTCATACTGGAGACAAACCCTACAGATGTGAAGAAGGTGGCAAAGCCTTCAACTGGTCCTCACACCTTACTATACATAAGAAAATTGATACTGGAGAGAGACCCTACGGATGTGAAGAATGTGGGAAAGCCTTTAAGCAGTCCTCAACCCTTGCTACACATAAGATAATTCACACAGGAGAGAAACCCTATAAATGTAAAGAATGTGGAAGAGCATTTAAGTGGTCCTCAAACCTTTCTACTCATAAGATAATTCATACAGGAGCGAAACCCTATAAATGTGAAGAATGTGGCAAAGCCTTTAAGCAGTCCTCAACCCTTTCTACACATAAGATAATTCATACTGGAGAAAAACCCTACAGATGTGAAACATGTGGAAAAGCTTTCAAGCTGGCCTCACACCTTACTAGACATAAGAAAATTCATACTGGAGAGAAACCCTACAGATGTGAAGAATGTGGCAAGGCCTTTAACCGACCTGCAACCCTCACTACACATAACAAAATTCACACTGGAGAGAGACCATACAGATGTGAAGAATGTGGCACAGCCTTTAAACAGTCCTATTACCTTAGTATACATTAAAAAATTCATGCTGGAGAAAAACCCTACAAATGTGAAATATGTGGAAAAGCTTTCAAGCTGGCCTCACACCTTACTAGACATAAGAAAATTCATACTGGAGAGAAACCCTACAGATGTGAAGAATGTGGCAAAGCTTTTACCCGATCTGCAACCCTCACTACACATAAGAAAATTCACACTGGAGAGAAACCATAAAGATGTGAAGCATGTGGCAAAAACTTTCCGTCGTTCTCCACCCTCAGTAGACATAAGGTAATTCATACTGGAGAGTAACCCTATGAATATAATGAATGTAGGAAAGCCTTTAACTAGCTCTTAACTCTGACTACATATGAGAAGTTATATGAAACATAAAACATACAAATATAAAGAATGTGGCCGGGCGCGGTGGCTCAAGCCTGTAATCCCAGCACTTTGGGAGGCCGAGGCGGGTGGATCACGAGGTCAAGAGATCGAGACCATCCTGGTCAACATGGTGAAACCCTGTCTCTACTAAAAATACAAAAAAATTAGCTGGGCATGGTGGCGCGTGCCTGTAGTCCCAGCTACTCAGGAGGCTGGGGCAGGAGAATTGCCTGAACCCAGGAGGCGGAGGTTGCGGTGAGCCGAGATCGCACCATTGCACTCCAGCCTGGGTAACGAGCGAAACTCTGTCTCAAAAAAAAAATAAATAAATAAAATAAATATAAAGAATGTGATAAAATTTTCAAAAAAGTTCTCAGCCTTTA